AGCATACAAAGCAATATTGGGCAAAGGAAACTGCCAAAGAAAGGATCAGATAATAGGATTTAGGTATGCACTAGATTTTAATGTATTGTAGATGACTGTAATAACAAAACAAATGAACACACTGGGTGAAAGACAACTAACTTCACTGAGTGAAGGTATTTTTCACTGCATCTTGAATCAAATTTCTGGGTGATGTTTGCATGGGAGCACACTGAAAGAAAGGTTATCCAAGAAAAATTCAGTGACTTGACAGTATTCAGTCTTTCAAAAATACATCATTCTGTAGTAAGACAGCATTTGCATACAGCAAGCATTACAATTATAAGTCTGAAGTTCCTGTTTTTAAGCACATTCACACAACCCCTTGCCACTTCTTAAATATGTCCATCTCTTCCATACCAATTAGTTCTGGGACTAAGTTTATAATTTACAGTCAAAACCCAAAACAAATTTGTTTTTGAAATCTTTTGACCTAAGTTAGTTTGGCTCTTTGGATATATGCAAGCAAGAGGGGGACCAACTACTTTCTCTCTCTTCTTTCCAATTGTAAGGTATTCAGTTGTAGTGCGTGCAGTCTCACAACCAAAAAAGGTCAAGGCTATACATTTCCAGGTTGGATTACTTACAAAACCTCACAAAAGATGGAAAACTACTGTACCTAGATTTGAAAGAGTTTATTTTTTTAATTTATATCATTTGATATGGGTTTTCTGCATGAATCCTAACGTAATTTAGGTCAACTGGCTCGTGATAACGTGTTAAAACTTCTCAATTTCCAGCCTTGAGACAGCTTTCCACTTAGGGCTGAGAATCACCTGACTAGTTTTACTTCTATGAAGTTTTACACACTTAATAAAAGTACACCTTAAAACACTTACAGACACATTTAAATCCTTCAGATCTCCAAAACAATCCAAAGAGATTAAATGGAAGTGCAATAATTGTTTGCAATGCTAAAATAGAAAGATGTTGGACTTTTTTTTTTAAACAGACAGATCTTTCATTATGGTCTTTGCATTTAAAATAATGAAAAGGCACAGCTTAAAATGCTTGTTCAATCAAGTGAAAATCATCCCCTAAAGACTGTGTTCCACCTAGATAGCTGAAGTCCGAATTCACCGGAAATGAGAATACAAGCTATGGGGGAAATTGTTTAAAAGTCTCATTATAGTATCATCACTTTGATTAAGTGTTATTAAATATGGAATCAACACTGTGTACAAAGAAAGGTAGACAGATAATGGAAAAATAAATGTAAAATACAATTTTTCTCTCTTAAGCTTTTACATAACTTACCCTAAGTCTTGTAACTTGTGTCTGTGGATCAATTAACCTAAAAAATATTCAAAAAAAATCAGAAAGTAAATTTTAGCAAACTGAAAGGACCACTGCAGATATCTGTGGAAGCCAACTTCAGTAAAATGCACGAAGAACACTTACTTCAGACAGTCACAAGTGACCAATAAATGTGATTCTGTCATCCTGAAAATGTTATGGATAGCCCGGGCTGCTAGTATCTGACGCATTGTTTCATAAACAACATCAGGAGTTTCATCATGTTTTACCTCCATGGAGCCAAGGAATCGTACAATAAATAACTGATGAAGAATGGAATCTAGGACAGAGAAGATATTTTAATAAGCAGTACAAACTGCTTTCTAGGTATGCCTTTTAAAAGGCAGATCACCAAATTAATAACATATTGCAAGCAATAAAATCCCACCCCACACATTAACTGAAAGTTGCACTACAGAACACCAGATATAGTTATTTAAAGAGCAAGCTATACACCCCTCTATGAAGCTCTTTCACAAATATTCAGTGAACATAAAGGACTTAATGCAAAGATCGATAGTAAAAAATGAACAGGATTCCAGATTGAAGTCTGACTGAATTCACATGACTCAGAGGCAACATTTAATTCAATCCAAAATTTCACAAACTGGTGTTAAGCTAATTATCTTTGAAACAGCATTTACGCAGGAAGCAAACAACCAAATACGTTGCCTGACTACTGATATTTTATAAAAATATCATATAACAATGTGTGTGTGTGTGTGTGTAAAACACACACACCCCACACACTACAGAATATATGTATCTATGTTTGTGTGTAATATATTTATATATATATATATAAAATGTGT